ATCGACCTATAATTAAACGATACATTTCATGAAAGAACAATAATTATTCCTTTTTTTAATGTATTTTTAGAATATAGATGTAGGAATTACAGAATTGCATAAGTTCATAGTTGACCCTTTTAATCATTATTATCATCTTATTTATAAATATTTGATTTAGTGATGTTATTCAATGAACTCAATATACAGTTTTTAGTTAGTTTCTCAATGAATTTCCTTTAGAATGATTTCGTGCTCAGTTATGATAACTTAAAAAGTTTTAATGAAATAATATATACTTTAGGAAACGTGAACAATAAATAACTAAAAGAAAATCAAATACATTAGAAGCAATCAGGACATTTTGTTGAAATATCTGATTCAGTTGTATCTAGTTGATATAATGAATAATAAGTTGTTTACACAAATATATTATAGTTGAAGTCATCAGTGAATTGAAGCTAGACTACCATGGAAAACCTGAAAGCACTGGACGGACGTTTCGTTCCAGCGTGGGACCCCTCAGCAGTGTGCATCCACGATCCTACACCGCGGGATTCGAACTCAGGACCTACCAGTCTCGCGCACGAACGCCTAACCTCCAGACCTCTGAGTCGATATCTAACGGTGTTAATGTCTAACTCCAACGAATCCACGAAATTGTAAAGATGTCCACCATTGTCTTCAGTGAATTACTGCCTCATAACAGACAAAATTGAACTCAACTGATTACGGCTTCTCACTAGAGCAAAATGGTCGTCCAGTGCTTCCAAGTTTTCAGTGATGTTTTAGCTTCAATGGACTCATGAACTCAATTGTCAAATAAAAGGATTTTTTATATTAAAAAAATTAAAATTATTAATCATCATCATGTTGTTTACAATGGACATACAATCCTACCATTACTTACTTACGTACGCCTGCTAACCCTCATGAAGGAGCATAGGTCACACACAAGTATTCTCCATTCAAACCTGTCCTGAGTAATCCATTACAGTTCCTTCGAGTTGCCACTCATCCTTTTTATATCTGCTTCTATTTCCCGGCGTAATTTGTTCCTTGGCCTTTCTCTTCTCTGCTTCCTTTCAGGATTCCAGGTCAGCGCTTGCCTGGTGATGCAGTTTGGTGATTTCCTTAATGTAGGTCCCATTCTCGTCCAACGTCTTTTCCTAATTTCCTCTTCAGCTGGATCCTGGTTTGTCCTCTTCCACAGTAGGCTGTTGCTGATAGTATCCGGTCAGTGAATGTTGAGTATTTTGCGTAGACAACTATTTATAAATACTTGTACCTTCTTGACGATGGATTTAGTAGTTCTCCACGTTTCAGCTCCGTACAGTAGGACTGTATGGAAGTTCGTATTGAAGATTCTCGCTTTGAAATCAGTTGACAGCTGTTTTGAGTTCCATATGTTCTTCAACTGTAGAAATGATGCCCTTGCTTTGCCAGTCCTCGCCTTTACATCTGCATCCGATTTTCTTTGTTCATCAATGATGCTTCCCAAGAATATTTCCACTTCTACTAGAGTATCGCCATCAAATGTGATTGGGTTGGTGTTCTCCGTGTTGTATTTGAGAATCTTGCTTTTTCCTTTGTGTATGTTGAGGCCTATTGATGCAGAGACTGCTGATACATTTGTTGTCTTCGTCTGTATCTGTTCGTGTGTATGAGAGAGGAGGGCTAGGTCATCTACGAAGTCCGAGTCGTCTAATTGGTCCTGAGATGTCGATTGTATTCCGTGCTTCCCGTCAGATGTCGAGGTCTTCATAATCCAGTCAATCTCCAGAAGAAGGAGGAAGGGGGAGAGTAGACAGCCTTGTCTGACTCCGGTCCTTACTGGAATTGCTTCTGTCAGCTGTCCTCCATACACCACTTTGCACTGTAGTCCGTCGTATGAATTCTGGATAATGTTGATAACCTCCTCAGGAACTCCGTAGTGTCCGGGAAGTTTCCATAATATTCTCCGGTCCACGCTGTCAAATGCATTCTCATAGTCCATGAATTTGACGTATAGTGATGAGTTCCACTCAACTGATTGTTCAACGATGATCCGTAGTGTTGCAATCTGGTCTGTGCACGACCGATCCTTACGGAATCCAGCCTGTTGATCCCTAAGTTCGGCGTCTACTGCGTCTTTTATCCGATTCAGCAGCACTCTGTTGAAAATATTTCCTGGTACTGATAGCAAACTGATGCCTCTGTAATTTTCACATTTGCTGAGATCTTCTTTTCTTTGGTATCTTGATGAGATATCCTTCTTTCCAGTCCATTGGCACTTGTTCCTCCTCCCAAATCTTCTTGAATAGAAGGTTAAGCAAGTTTGCAGTCACTTCACTGTCTGACTTCAGTGCTTCTGCTGGTATATTGTCAGGTCCTGCCGCCTTCCCACTTTTGATTTGTCTGATGGCCATCTTGACTTCTTCGATCGTTGGTTGAGTGACATCTATTGGAAGGTCAGTGTCGGCTGCTTCGATGTTCGGTGGATTCGATGGGACTGGTCTATTCAGCAGTTCCTCTAAGTATTCTGCCCATCTTTTCCTCTGTTCTTCAATATCCGTGATTGTCTTTCCTTCTTTGTCTTTGACTGGTCTCTCCGGTTTGCTATATCTCCCTGCTAATTTCTTCGTTGTATCATATAGTTGTCTCATTCCCTTCTCTTGAAGCTTTTTCTGCCGTCGTTGCTAGTTCTCACATGTATTTGTGCTTGTCAGCTTTAATGCTTTTCTTCACTTCCCTGTTTGCTTCTGCGTAGTCTGCTTGTGCTTTGACTTTCTCTGCTCGTGTTCGGCTGTTGTTAATTGCTAGTTTCTTGTTCTTCCTTTCTTGAATCTTGTCCAGGGTTCCCATAGAGATCCATTCCTTGTGATGATGCTTCTTAGGACCAAGAACCTCCTGACACGTTGAAGTTAGTGCTTCTTTTATCCCTTTCCAGTTGTCCTTCATCGTAGTTTCTTGTTCTTGCAGTATATTCTGTAGAGCTTGGAACTTGTTGTTGAGAATTATCTTGAATTCGTTGAGCTTGTCAGTATCTCGAAGGAGGGCTGTATTGAACCTTTGTGATGCTGATTGTCCAGTTGTCCAGTCTTTCTTTAGCTTCAGTCTCGTCTTGGCCACAACCAGGTGGCGACCTGAAGCTATGTCGGCTCCTCTCCGGGTTCTCACATTTTCCATTGATCTTCGGAATTTTTTGTTGATACAGATGTGATCTATCTGGTTCTCTGTGGTTTGGTCCGGTGAGATCCATGTAGCTTTGTGTGGTAATATTGTGCCGCCTATAAGCAATTTGTTGAATACACATAAATTTGCAAGTCTCTCCCCATTTTCATTTCTCTCTCCTAGTCCATATCGTCCAACTATATCTTTATATCCTGTGTTGTCCACTCCAATTTAATCATTTAGATCTCCCATAAGGATGGTCAGGTCCTTTCGTGAGCACTTCTCTATAATTGATTGCAGCCTTTCATAGAACTGATCTTTATCATCGTCGTTGCTATCATTTGTGGGTGCATAACATTGGATAACGTTCATTGTGATCCCTTGCTTCTTTGTTTTGAATGATGCTTTGGTATTTCTGGATCCGTGCTTCTCTAATATACAAGAATATTAATATGGAAATATTGAACCAATCACGACGATTCGCAGCTTTTTCTTCGAACATCTTGTTGACAGTGGATATATGGTAAACAAAATTAGACCATTTCGGGTAATTTGTTGCATATCTTCATCATTTCCTAATGTGGTTCGATCCCATCTCCTTACACATATCAGAAGCTATAGGGATCCGAATATTTAACCCTAGTTTATATGTTCTTAAGTAATTGGTGACACTTCTGTCTTTCTCTTGACTGAATATGAACTATTAAAAGATTTTCTTGGTTCTTTTTAAATATCATATTTGTTTTTCACTTTTCAATTCTTTCGGCTTATATTATTAACTATCGGATTATTCACATATATTTTATTGCATGATTTCAACAGGTTTTTTGTGATCATTGTTTTGAAGTCTATTGATCCATTTTTGACCAACTTTCTATGTAGTACTACCGACTAAAACTTTTGTTATTTTATTATTCTTATCACAATGAATAAACCAGTCTTCTTACTTTTATTTTGTACTTTTTACCTATAGAGCTTTACTGCTCATGATAGGACTACTTCAAATGAATCATCTGATACTTTAAGTATTATCATAAAATATAGTTGTCTGTATCCTGGATACTTAGAAATACCGAGTATTATTCGCTTTTTTCCAGTTGTATAAACAATCTGAAAATTAGTATTCCAGGCTATTTACTGAGTAACAATATCACACCACCGAATACAACAATGGGATCAAATAATTTGCCAATGTTTTCACATTTCATGTATTTAATGTTGCCTGATTGTTGATTAACAGTGTCAGATCCAAAATCTAAGTTCCGTGTTTTGTACGATAAATCAGTATAATGTATTAGCAATTGGTATACAAACATATTCACTTTCAGAAATCAGAACCTACATTACTGAGCAACTGTTAACTTGGTTTACTGAAAACGTCTGCTTTTATGGTAGTCAGTAACTTCTCTCTCCGACAAATTTAACCAATTCGTTATACGAAGATGTAATATTAGTCGCGTATCCTGGTGATATTGGAATAAGACCAAAATCTTATCAACAGTTCAGATGCTTTTACATAATTAGATAAGGGATTCAGTAAAGCGCGATAGATTTAAACTCTCGATTCGACATACTAATTTCAGTGTATAAGCAGATTTGCATGTCTTATCATTTGACTATGTCTTAGACAGTTTTACGAAATCAAATACTAGTGCTTCTCTTTCGTAACCATTTATGAATATAATGCCAAATATTTCTGTTGTTTAATTAAAAAGTAAAACAAGCAAGGATGACTTGAATAACGTTTTTAGCTGTGTACAAGTTCAGAGTCCAAGTAGGAAATTTGCCAGTTTGCTCATCCTTATCAAGGCTGATAAATAAAAGTATCTTTTTCATTCATATTCAACATTTTTTCCAATAAATTTTAGAAGCTACATGATGAATTACTTTCGGAATGTGAGTTAGGAACTTCATCATCAAGTTCATATACATTAGCAGCATCCAAAGTCAACCGTCAACATAAACTCGAGAAAATATATCCACAAACTTTCAAATCAAAAAATAATCAATTATCATTTCAAGACTGTTCAATTAACGCCGATAATATTAAAAATAACATTGAGTCTGGCCAAGAAAGTCAACAATCAACTACTCCAGACTTATCATCTTTTCCATCCCTTAGTTCATTTTCACCATCATCAACATCACCGTGTTCAATGAGTCGAGCTAATCACACCGGAGACAAAACAGTTCAAGAAAACTCCAGCCCAACAGATGAAATTCAAATAAGGTTTGAATTTTTAATTACATGCATTTATAAACTTATGTTTCAATTTCCATTGAAATCGTAATATCGCAGTTGGTTGAACGTACTAACACCACTAATAATAGTTTAAACAATACCACATACAATTAAGTCATAGTTTGTCTAAGCTATCTATATCTTACAACACGGATTCACAGATATCACCGTGGATTTTTAGGTAGAATCTACTTTCGCATTTTATTGCAAAAATATCTGATAATATGCAATCATTAGTTAATAAAAGTAGCATGTTTAATTGTCGTCATACAATTTAATACAACATTTCTAAGTATATGAAGTGCCCAAATATTTCAAAGAGGCGCTTATAAACACAAATGGTAACGTAGTAGAAATAGACGTTTACGCAATTTCGTTGAGGATCTGATTGGAATTATTTAAACAACATTTTCCACAATAATATAACATTGTATCACAGGCAAATTCTGTTCATACCAACTAATCGATAAGTACTCAATACTATCCTAGTTTAGCTCTGTAGTCCTGGTCGTATAGCAATGTGTTCACTGATTTAACAGTTATGAAATCGTATAAACTGTGCTTTAATATAAGATAATTTGTTCGTTTTAAAAAGAAGTAACTCCTGGTCAATTTTCCCCAACAACCTAGAACTTTAGTCTTGTGCGATTCCCTGTTATAATATTTTAAAAAAAATAGATATGCTTAAACAAATTATTTACAAGATTTCTAATCTTAAATAATATAAAAGCGTTTATTTACTGTACGGTTAGTGGTAAACTTAATCTGTGGATAAAACAAAAATTTGAAGTTGAAAAACAGTAATGAACTACATATAATAAAATTTTCTATTTATATCTAGTTACTAACGAAATGAAATATCAACAATCTTAATACGCTACGTCACTGTCAATATTAATTACTTAGTTACCTAATTTTTAACATAAACTTTTAAAAGAAACTTTAGTTGATTACTTCCTAACTAACATTGAAAATGAATTCGTCAATAGTTCTTTATTTCTGTCACAATCTCATAATAAAATTTTAAAAAACATAGAACAAAATTAAATGAGAAATATTTTCACATTGAATATTTAAAAAAGGGGAAAATATGAATTGAACAAGGTGACTCAATTCAACTGTTCATTTATCACTTCCACCACTCCCCTCCATACATATGTACAATTATACGTATATTCACTTGTTTTTAATTAAGTAGAATGTAATAAAAATTTACTTAAAACAAGGTGTGGTTATATAAATATTGTAATTAAGTTTTCAATGAAAATTAGTTCATCCGAGAAATTAAATTTCCTTTTGTCTGGAGCATTGGTTAGTTATTATTAAAATCTTGATATGGCATTTAACGAATATAGAAATATATATATATATATATTGTTAAGATTAATTAGAAAACATCCAGTCTTCTTGAAATATTGATCAGATTACTGAAACAATAAACAAATAGGTCATAACATTGGTCACTTTACGAAAGCAAATATATTTGTTAATATGTGATAATATATGGAAAGCCTTTTATGGAGATTCCAGTAATTTTATAGTTGAAATCATGAGTCAATTGAAGCTAGACCACCATGGAAAACCTGGAATGACTGGACGGCCGTCTCGTCCTATTGTGTGAGTCCTCAGCAGTGCGCATCCACGATCCCGCCTCGCGAGATTCGAACCCAGAACCTATCAGTCTCGCGCGCTAGTGCTCAACCTCTAGACCATTGAGCTGGCATCCAACGGTTTTAATGTCTAACTTCAACCAATCCACGATGTTGAGCAGCCGTTCACCATTGTCTCACAACAGATCTGATTGAACTCCACTGGTCACTGCTTCTCACTAGAATTCCAGGAAATATCAGTCATTAGTGAGCATATGATTATTATCAGAATGGGCTTTTGTTGAGATCTTGGATGCGCACCACAATGGAACGAAACTGCCGTTCAGTGCTTCCAGGTTTTCCATGGTGGTTTAGCTTCAATTGACTCATGATTTAAACTCTGGAATATGTGGAGAAATGATAGTCGGTTAGAAAATTTATTGTTGAAATTTCATTGAACAACTTGTCTTGTGAATCATTCTACTATTTGAAGATAAATGTGAACATTTATGCACAATAAGCAAAGGTGGATGGTGGCTAGCAGTGGAGTCCAGGATGCGTGTTTTGCCTTATTTAGGACTTGTCAAATGGATGTACTTGCATCCACGTGTTTAGGTTCACAGGGTGCCCACATGCTAATGAGAAACTGATCGGTTGTAGTTCTAAACATCAATGGGAACATTGAAACAAATAATATGAATTTATAAACAATGTTACGTTTAAATGAATTATTTGTTGGATCAAAATTTAGAATAAAACTTCAAATGTAATTGCGATTACAATTTAAAAGTATTCATAAACGATGGTTGTTTTAATTTTTGAATTACTTTGACAGATTAAAAGTAGTGGCAAATTTATTTCAATAAATTCATCCGATATAAGAAGTCAATACAAAGAGATTATTTCAGCTCAAAGTGTTGAAAATGATTTAATATGACCGACTGTTCTTTGCCTCTAAACATAAGATTAATTTAAAATAACAGCACATTGAAGATCTAATGTTTACTAGTTAAAGCTATTCATTCTGTAGTCGAAAAATTTGCTACACCAAATTCTGAAAACCAGGATAGTTGACCTCTAAATTTGGCAAATACTCGAAAATGCGTTAACATCATTCATCTGTTATCGAAATTAGGGCATCTTCCTCACCAGTTGATTCTATCCAATTAGTACAGTTAATAAGTATTTGATTATTTTAACGGACGTTTATCTAATAAACAGTTTTATAACTTCATTCATGTAACATTTTTCTTATTTTATAGAACTCCATATAATGCTACCCAAAGAAGAAAAGAACTATTCACTCAAATATCCAATAATATATCTGACCATGAAGGAGATTGTTATGAATTACGTAGTAATACTTCAGATATAGAAACTACCACTTTCAATAATCTTTCCATTAGTATCAGCACATCAAATGACATGAATGAATTGAATCGGGAAACAAAAAGTGAAATTTCTTCACCACTTGGCTTTGTCAAAACAACAGAAATGGCAAGATCTAATTCAATTCCAGATATTTTTGACAGTTCCACAACAATCACATCAAAATCTGTCACGACATCAAGTGTATTAGTTAATACGAACGCACCATTAAGAGCTGGCGCATCAAATACATCTAACTTATATCCTAGATCAAAATCCCATTATGCAACGAAGGATCCAGATCATTTTATTAATCATAGCTTTGCTACAAATAGACGAAAATCTCGTTATAACTCAAACAACAATAATAACTTAGACTATTCTAACCTTAATTTAAAATCACTTCTAAGTAATAAATATATGAAAAGCTTTTTAATGCAACCTTTTTTAATTCCGGATTACATGAATACTTCTGCATATTCAACACTCAATGGTTATGATCTTGCTAATCTGAGAAGATCATTCTTCAACAATGAAGAGAGTAAACAAAATTTTCAAACAGCTGCAGCGGCCGCTGCTGCGGCAGCTCTTCTACCAGAACCAGGTTTATTCATTAATTCACCATGTTATTATTGGTTGCCATCATTAGGATTTAATAATTATACTAAAAATACTACAACAACATATACTAATGATTGTGTAAAACTGTATAACGATAAAATTACAAACAGTAATGGAAATAATAGCGTGAATTATGTAAATGGAGGTAATCGATATATGCTACAACAATTAACTAATCAAACGAATCATAGAGTTGATGAATCAAAGTCTTATGAAACACCCAAAGTATCGGTTTCAAGTAAGTTAATAAACGTTTTAAAAATTCTGTATTGTTTATGGGATTATTAACTCAACGAGTTTAATAAACTTAAGTGAATTCCAAGTTGTCTGCCTGAATAATTTTTAAAAAAATTCAAAATGCTTTTGTTTCGAAAATTAATGCAACATTAACGTATAATCTAGAAAATTCTCAAGAGGTTAATTGATCGTTCAACCTAAAAAAAAATTTAAAAGTCGAAATGAAATAAGTTTTCTGAGTCATTGTTTTTCTCACTGCATTGGGACAAGCCATGGTTTTGAAAGCAACTATTCTGATATTTTAACAACAATAAGCAGAATTTCGAGATTCATGAATTGACTGCAGTTTAGCTTGTCAGGCTATTATTTACCCTTTGGATCTAAATCACAAGAAAGTAGCATCATTTGGTTGAAAATTGTATCACATCTCCAAATTCTACCGTATCCTAATAATCATTTATCGCCACCGTTTCCAGGCACGTTGAAAAACAACAGGGATTGAAGAACCACTATATAGTAATTTTAAATTACTCTAGAAACGCATCCACTGTCTCAACTGACATCAAAGTCTAAACCTTCAGGTTTCTTTTTGAGGATTTAATCTTCAAACCACCGTTTCGTAGGCTAGAGTTTACATTTATGTCAAGTCATGATATGGCACAATCGTCTAGTTTCACCTGTGATACATTTCCAAATCCCCAACATGGTTGAGTTTCAGTAGTCGTGATTTCTCGATAAAATCTGCGAAATGACCTTCGATCAATCAAATACAGACATTCAATGTACTAAAGTATCCAATATTTATCCGGCTAGCCTTAATCACCGACAAAACGTGAAAATGAAACTCTCAAAGCCGAAAACAGGGAATCCAAACCAACAAATATAAATATCTTCTGTAGCGATTCGTTCATTATTTAAACAATTTACTATCTAGATTAATTGGATAGTTGACGTCCTAAAACAAATTGAGTACATATTAGACAGAAAAACAAAAGTTCTATACACAACAATGATATTAATAATAACAGTACAAAGCAGGTTGAGATGAATAAAATGTTTTTTTCAACCTAAGAAAATCAATAGAAAAATAAGACTTCATAAGGATTACTCATTCTAAATGTTCAATATTCAAGTATGTGTTTATGTGTCTTCTTTTCTATCGGCATGGTAAGTTTTGGATATTGTAGTATTTTACCAGTTGAATTTTCGTGAGTCGATCTAAGCTAGAACACCATTAAAAGCCTGGAAGCACTGGACGGTCATTTCATCTTAGTACGGGACTCTTCAACAGTGCGCATCCACGATCCTGCGAACCCAGGACTTTCGTCTTCACGCGCTAAAGCTTAACCTCAAGACCATTGAGTCGGCATCCAACCATGTTAATGCCTAACTTTAATCAATCCATGATCTTCTGCAACCCTTCTTTTTGTTACTTAGATTCTTAATTCTATGCGAAAGTATGGGAATTTCTATTTGAATACTTCTTTTGTATGATGTTTATTTTTCATTTTGTACTTCTTATTCATACTGTTATTCTCTCATTCTTCTCCATTTCTTAATAATATTAATGAAAACAGTGCATGAGAATAATTTGCTTTTCATCTATTTTACAATAAGTAAAGTGAGTAAATAAACGGTCAGAAATAATCAGTAATGACAACAAAGCAAATTGAAATCGAATAAAATATCGAGTCCAATTTATATTACTTTATAACAAACGAAATCATCGATTCCAATTCTAGATATTTGATTAGAATACATATTTCTAAAGCTATAATAGATAATAAGGAGTTATAGTATTGTGAACATAGTATTAGTGTAAAACAGCTTAATATTTATAAGATCTAATTTATGGATGGAAGTGTAGAAAACAGTTTATAAATCTTTTCGAAATTCTAATAACTTACTTGAACTAGCTTGAATCTAGGCTTTTTTTCTAACAGTTATGTAATCATTATGTAATGTATTTAGTTGTTGTATATTCAAGAGGTTTGCAAATACCTATTTTCTTTACAGAACCAGTTGTCAAATTTACTTTGGCAACCAATACAACTGAGTAACTAGATGTACAAGTCTTTATTGACCCAAATGTTGAAAGTTATGTCAAAGATATTAATATTACTGAACTGACTATAATGCATAATTAAATATCTGACGACAAAATCCATTTGATATTCAACTGTTGTAATTCCATCTTTCAACATGAGGAAAGATAACTAACTTATAATTTCGATACCATAATTACTCATTTTACTTCCCATATATTTATCAAACCTAATTCAAATACAATTGAACTTCGTTCTAATTATTTAAATAAGTAGTAGGTATACTTGAATAACAGTATGTAAATACATAATGACCAGAAGAGAAATAATATTTTCAACTGTTATAGACATATGACTCCTTGTACTACAAGTCAAAAGTGATTATCATGTGTTCTTGCAAAAATGATAATTATACTAAGATCATATTAGGTTAGATATAATAAGATTCTCTTTCAGTGATCACTTATTTTCGAGAAAATTGATGTATTCAAACTGAATTATCATTAGATTACTAGTTCAAAGTATTCGCACAGTAGACTTGTTAAACAACTATGATAAATTCACTTGATATTGTTTACTTGTATCTTCTCATTGTTGTTTAAGACTACAATTGATCAGTAACTTGTTGGTATATGTGCTTCCTGTGTGAACTACCTCGATATTGCCTTAAGTCACAAGCTTTATAAGTAAAGATGGATGGTGTCTGGTAATCAAATCCATTACTAGCAACTATTCATCTTTGCTTATAAAACTACAATAAATTATTGAAAAGTATATATGTTACAGTTATATTACATTATAACCAATAAAAACCACAATTTCCTAAATAGTTTCTCTGTCTATTTCATGTTAACATAACTCCATATTAAAATTAAAGGATGATAAAATAGGTCAAATCAATGAAATGGTGAATAAACGGCTAATAAGCTTTTGATGATTTATTCTAAATTTGATTTATGTTAGTAAACATAAATTATAATTTTTCTTGTTCAGTGAACTATGTGTTTATCATTAATTAATATTTCAGATTATCAAATAAAACTAAGTTCTCATTATGTGAAATTCCATATTTTCAATTGTGTATTATTCTATCCGAACACATAAAACTGTTATTTTCTACAGGAGCTTTAATGCATTTTTGGTAGCCAGTGTTCTAATGTCTTGAAACACTTTTCTTTTAAACATCAATGATCCCTCATTAATTAATTTCTCGAGTAAAAATCATTGCCATGAAAATTATCATTTTTATTTGTCAACAGAAGAACAAACTGATTATACAGTTACAAACGTAAATCAGACTAACTCTCTAGCATGGTAAAGTTTTTTTCATGGTAGTTTTAGTTTGATAAGTCGAAAGAACAAATATAGTCGATAGGTACTTACAAATATAGATTTCTTGACTATTATAGACCTTCATAACGTCATGTTTCACAATTGCATAGAAAACATGCATTCCCTTCTAATGATCATTTGAATTTTCAAACTACTTTTCCAATTCACTTAGTATTGTTTGTTTGAATCTTCCCATTGATGTTTAGGACTGCAACTGGTCAGTCTAGAATTGGCATATGTGCATACTGTGCTTATTGCCTCGATATAGCCTTAATTGACAAGCATTGTGAAGATTCAAGGAAACAATAGTAAATGAATTTAAGCTTCACCCCATTGCACAAGCAAGTGGCTATTAGGACTCAGTAGCTGAGTGAATAACGCGATGGCGTTTAAAGCGTAAGGTACTGGGTTTGACTCTCAGAGTGGACATCAACTCTGAAATACGGGCATATCCAGCTGACGAGTCCCAAATAGGACTTGACGCGCGTCCTGGATTCCACTACTAGCCACTATCCATCTTTGTTTACAATATTTATCCAATGTTATAATTATTTTACAATGAAACTATTTTCAATAAAATAATAATCTAATAAAATTTATTCAAACCACAAGTTTACAAATACACTCGTTGATAACAATCATGAATTCACCTTCTCATATTTCAATACAATAAACTTTGTTTATTTACCTATTATACTGTTCGATTTCCATTTAGTTAACTAACAAGATAAGGTCATTTCATTTAATAATCAAATAGAACTAATCAATATAAAGTTGTTGTTGTTGTTGTTGTTTTTCTTTTGCCTAACAATAAAATCATTTACAAATGTAGATGAGAAAGGAAAGAATGAACGAGAGATAGAGATAGAGATAGAGAGGGAGAGAGGGTAATCTGTAATACTCAGATAAGTATAGTTTATTACATAAATTATATTTTATACCTCTAATTTTTTTGTATTTTTGATAAAAAGTGTTCAGAAAGAGATTTGACCTGATAAAATAAATAACTTTTCCTTATATCAAAGATTAATTTAAGTTTTTTTTGTTTTATATAAGTAGTTAGTTGGTTCCAGTTTCCTTCATATAAAGTGTTATTATTATTATTATTATTAATATTACTATTATCCATTGTCAACATCAATATATTTCGTGATTTTCCAAAATTTAATGTCAATAGAATGACCTCTTTGAATAAATGGATAGAGGAAATGTAAGTCATAAGGTAGAAAATAAAAAAAAAACTCTATATAATACATTCAACTTAGTGTTGTTTGTTTGAATCTTCCCATCGATTTGTTAGAACTGCAACTGGTCAGTCTCTAAAAGTCAGTCTCTCTCAAACAAACAATACTAAGTTGAATTTAAACTTCACCCCATCGCACAAGCAAGTGGCTATCAGGACTCAGTGGCCGAGTGGAAAACGCGATGGCGTTTGAAGCTAGGGTACTGGGTTCGAGTCCTAGAGTGAACATCAACTCTGAGATGCAGATACATCCAGATGACGAGTCCCAAATAGGACTTGACGCGCGTCCTGGATTCCACTGCTAGCCACTATCCATCTCTGATATCCATATAATACAGTTTGAAGTGATCATGTAGAATCAGTAAACATTTGTGAAAAGTTTGTGAAAAGAAATACTTCATGTTGTTTAGATTGAAGAACGATTATATTCTAATAGAAGAGAGCTGATAAGATTACTAACTTATCTGCATTATCGATTAACATATGGTTTGAATCAGCAATAAGGATATAAATGGAGATGGATAGTGGCTAGCGGTGGAATCCAGGACGAGTGTTTCGTCTTATTTGGTATTAGTCAGCTGCAAATACCTGAACCCCTTAGTTGATAGTCACTCAGGGATATGAATCGTGTATGATTCGTTGCAAACAATACTGTACTAGAGTCCCTGAGTGAAAATCATCTGCGGGATTCAGGTATATGCATACAACGAGTCCCAAATAGGAGGAAATGCACGTCTCGTATTCCACTGCTAGCCACCATGCACCTTTCCTTATAATGTTTATCACTTAATGTCAATATCGAAGCATTCGACATAGGATGTACATATGTCAATAAGACACTAATCAATTGCAGTGCTCAATATCAGTGGAAAGATTCAAACAATCAATACAAAAATGAAATACATAAATGATTTCAAAAACTGACATCCTGTGAAGAAACTTCATAATTAATAAATTTTATATCAAGTAGTACATATTTATGGGAAGTATGGTTCCTGAATCTTTTGGTGATTACTTTCACTCGCATAAGCCATATGCTTGTTTTAAGATGATTTATAAAATCTGTCTATATATACGAAGATATTTTCGTCTTTATTCCTCATCTAAACAGCACAATCTTTATCTATCTAGTAGATGAAACCTGAACTTTATATACAATATTATTATCAAAATCATTATTTTACATGCTTTTTTTGTTCAAAAATAAACCCCCTTCTTTTAATTATGCTTTGTCTACCTTTGATTTTTATCATCTAGAACTGTTTCCACCATCATTTCAAGGAATTATTCAAACATAATCTTATTTAATTGTTAAAATGTAAACCAGTATTCCTCGAGTTATTTGAACGTCGCCTATAGTGTATCTAAAAAAAAATCGTTTAGATATTTGATAGATCATTAGAGTGTATTCGATAATTTTTGTTTTCAAACTAAGTTACGACATGAATTTGCAATAACGTAGCCCAATTTAGTAGTCTGATATTAAAACATAGTGTTTTATTGCACCTTGTAACTTATTCGGTAAAACTAGCTAATATAATCAGGAGTTTTGAATAGATATAAGGTATTTCACTTCATTGTAAAAATATACAGATTTATTATACTTGGTTTGAATTATAGAAAGACAGTACTAGATATTATCCATCGATTATCCTATCCCTTTCCTAAATGTTAATTTCATTGTAACCTAGTATTAAAAGTGAAAACAAATGAAATGAAATATAGTTTTGCTGTAATGTAGAAAAAGTAGTCTGATAGTGGAATCCAAGAAAAAAAGTGTCGTTTTATTTGGCACTCGTCAATTGGATGTACCCACATTTCAGTGCTGACTTTACACCTGAACTCAATACTAAGTGAAAACTGATTATTTTTCAAGCTGGGGAATGCAGATAGCCACTAACTTATTCAACGGGTGTAGTGTACACTCCATCGTTAGTACGCATTCAAATTATTCTGTTGTTGGTATTCCAAACCGGATTTTAATCAAAACTTGTTGGCATATGTGAGTCGTGCTAAATCTCTTGACGAACTTATTTTTTCGTTAGTTATTTAGAATAAACGAATTGTGGTAGGCGGTGAGGTCCAGGATCCGTGTTTCTTCGTATATGGGTAATCTTTTGATTAAAATATCCCCTCTTCTAAATTAAAAACTACCAATTTAAACAAAACCATATATATATCACTTGAGTAAAAGAATTGAAATCATGTGTAAAATTAATTGTTTGTGTATGGGTGAATGAGTTCAATTTTAGCCTGTCTACAATATATATGCATTCAAGCAGTAATTTAATAAAATGTCCAATTAATTTCTCTTCTCTGCTCATTTATCAACTACAGTTTAAGTTATAAATTACGAGATGATTTATTTCAATTATGTTTGTATATTTATATATTGAGTCCCTGAATGAACATCAACTCTAGGCTGCAGGTACATCCAGCTGACGAGTCTCAAGAACGACGAAACGTGAGTCCTGGATTTCACTGCCAGCCACGATCCATATCTGCTTATAATCACTGTGTAGATTTCTTGATTTATTGTTCTCATTCCTTCAGGAGCTATAGTTAACGTTCTTATTTTACTTCTCAGTTTGACAGTTTACTCTCTTCGTGTGACTACATGAGATGTGGCAACTAGGGATGATCTTAACTCGTCCCAGGTCGCACACTGATAACGACTGACAAAATGTAACATAATAACAATTTTCTTAAAAGCTCAATACAATACTAATTAGGGTATTTGTTGTCGATATTAACATTTTAAATAAACGTTTTGGAAGTAATTTGACTTGTTTATCTACTTCTATTTCTTATTAGGGACACCCGAAAATTCTCGAATGGCTTTAAAATCTTTAACAAAAGAAGAGAAATACAGTCAGAAAAACAAGCCAGGTAACAGAATAATTATATTACCTAAAGAGTATATCACAAAGTTATCCTTTTTTAACAGTCAGAGCCAAGATAAGCGGCAAATCTGAAGTGAGACAAGTTACCTCATAACTATTTTACGTAGATTTTAAATTAAACGAACATTTCAGAGACAGATAGATATTTGTTAGTATATTCATGATTTAAGTTTGTGTGTTAGTGTTCGATTAATCTCTTAATTTGACCATACTGACTAATTTTTGTCATGGCCTAAATAACTATGCTAATCCTGTTTAAAATAATAAAATTTTATGTCTAAAGTGACAACCCTACATAGAATTTAATGGATTGCATGTATTTAGGGATAAAATATTAGGCTTAAACGGTCTAAAGCAGATGAATAAACGATCGAACTGATATATATATATATATAATTGCAGCATGTACCAAATACATGCTTTTTCATAGTAATCTGGAAAACAAATTTACCACATTGAGACAGACAAGCAACCCAGGGAAAGTCATCTAAACATAGTTTTTTTACAGTTGTAAGAAAAAGATAATATCTTTTAGTTACACAGAGCTGCTACCTGGTCAAACCATTTGTTATTGATGAAAGCGTTCAATTTGTAAGGATATAGTTACATGCGATCTATAGTAATAATAGAACTCGTAGATTTCAACTGACATAAGGCTCGTAATGAAACTCAAGACCTAATATTTCTTCCTTATTACAGTTTTGAATGAACCCTATCAATTAGTCCCCGCATCCTAATGTTCATTAACTTCATCAACTAATATTTGATATACAGCCTACTGATTAACAAAATGCTTTTAAGTCGCTCACAGTGATAAATGAATTTCCTGAATTTAAGTGTAGAAGAAAGCCAGAATGATATTTATATACTTCTAGATCTCTGAAATAAAGTAAATTAATGAGTAGAACAAAGCGACGGCTGTAGTTCTATGAATTCTTAACATAACATTCAACTTTGTCTCTCTAATGAACATCTTGTCCTAAGTGTACACATTTTATCACCAAACGATGTGGATATAGTTCCTGTTAACTGGTCTGTGATTCACATTTCTCAAATATTTTAAAATTGGCTAGTTAAATATCCAACATATTGGTAAGTATTTGAACTGAAATAGGATTTTTTCAAGTGAAATATGGATACTTAATCCCATAATAATGAAAGGCAATATGGAGTTTATCTAAACATGACTTTAAAAACGCCAATGAATTTAAGTTAGTGATGTAGAGTAAGGTTGAACTGACTTTTTAGTGGTGTACATTAAACAACAGAATGAATTCATCATCGAGCTCAAGTATAAGAGGTACTTAGTTCGAATTATCTTTAAATATTTTCTATTCCCTATTAAATTATGAACCATATTCTTAGATATTCACTAACAGTGCTACTTTATGCTAATTGACTATAACAATAATTGTATTAATTCATCTTTTCTTTCTGAAACTTAATCATCAATACCCTAAAGTGTTTTTTTCATAATTTGATTCTTTGTAGATTAAAATATGTTAAGTAGTTTAGGTATAACATCAAATTACCAGTCGAAGTCTAAACAATCTTAAGAAGCCAGTTAAAATAAAGAATATTACCTGAATTTGGCTTATGTGAAAATTTATAGTTTTCCTTACAATGTAGTTGTAAAACATGTATTTCTCAAGGTTTCACTTCTTCTCATCATAGCACACAAAACCTTGTCGAAAATTGCAAATAGCTACTAAAAATTAAGTCATTACCACTGGTTAGCTTCACGGTGAATGTTTTAAAGTGGGAAGCCTTAAACCATGAACTCGAACAAATCAGTTTCAGAACAATATTACACACATAAAATTGGATGAATAAGGTTTCGAAAAGTTTAAACTGAGTGAATCCTAGAATACTTACTGTTGAATACCAACCAATTAACTTAGTACAGTTATATATACCTGGAGATCTAAATGATTATGATTTGATTCCATGTTGCGCTAGGAAAATGTACTACAAAGAAGTTTCAACTTATAAGTAGCTGTGATGTACTCAGTAGTTTCCAGTGGTTTTTCAGCAGGGATTAGCTGGTATATATATATATATATATATATATATATATATATGCAATCGTACTTTTAAGAAGATATTAGATTTGACAAAGATAAAGCTAACCATTTTAGGTATACATATTATTATTGCTATATGGTCGATCCATCTTATCTTGGGGCATAAGTCGGGAAGATTTCATTCTGATGTTCTTTATGTCATCAACATCTCAACTTTCAGTTCACTATATTGTGAAATATCTGATTTTCGTATAAAATTATGTTTTACAGCTAGGTTTCACCTGCATATTGTGATGTAATATTACATTGTAGATATTATGAAAATAACTTTGTGTGTAGAATATTGAAGCCTTATATTAATTCCATTTATTGTTATACAACCGAGTAATCTGAATGGTCCCTAAACAAAGCGTTATACGATAATCTATATATTGCCAGTGAAATGTCTGAATGCATGAATACTGAAAGTTGGCTTCAGCGACGAATAACACTATCCAGATGAAGACACTAGCTAACCTAATCTTAACTTCAGAAAAGTAAATTTTGGATGATGAAAAGTTCCTCGTTTTTCTATATTCGTTTGGTTGGTCAGTTCAATTTTCACCGAGCATCTTTTAGTATGAAAAAGGTGTTACGTGTTGATACGACAGTTAGACATACTGAAAGTACACCTCCATGCCTGCAGTCTTTTACATCAGGTGGTTAGAGCTAATTATAAGACAGGTCTGGATCAAAGTGCAATGTTTGTTGCTAAGGTTCACCTGCTATCTTAGTGAAGCTGTTTACCACAGAATCTGCAAAAATACTGTTGAATTCAAGAGCTAGCTGTCACCAGTTCTTGATGAAAGGTATCTTTAAATTTCACGATCCAGTCTTTACTAACTAATCAACCAAACAATAAATAGTTTTATTTGATCTATTTCCTGATGACGAAATTTATCGTAGCAGTTAGAATTGAGAATAACTAAACAGTCTGCATCTCTTAATCAACTCAGTGTAACTCTTGGTTTATAAAATGTAAATAAGATTAAGCTTTTATAAGTAAGGGGTTGTGGAGAATGTTAGGTTTTTATTTGAGATCATGAATCGATCGATGGTAGACCACCATTGGAAACCTGAAAGCACTGGGTCGCCATTTCGTCTTAGTATAGGACTCCTTAACGGTGCGCGTCCACGATTCGTAACGTGGGACTCGAATCCAGGACCTTCGGCCTCACGCGCCAACGCTTAACCTCTAGACCATTGAGCCGGAATCCAGCTGTGGTAGTAAGGTAGCCAAAAAAGAGTGTCAGCTTTGAGGCTACTGCTTGTGATTCAATCATAATAGAAAAAATACATGTGTTTCAGAGATCTCAGTTCAAAAACGTAAGTTACCTTCATTTTACTTAACATTATCAGATTACCGCTACACTCGACTAATTTATAACAATTACTTTATGTAATGAATTTGAATCACATTAAAAGATAAAATTATTCTGGATATTTTAGCCTTACCACTTGAAAAAACAAACTCAAATTAACAACTGAAATCAATGAGGATTAAAATGATTTATTCCCAAGATGCTTGAAGAAACTTATATCGTACTTATTTTCATACAGTAAACAACCAATCGTATCATAGTTTAGTTATCAGTAATTGTGTATAATATAACTCGATTTAAGGTATATTAAACCAACCATCATAAATGACATTCACTGATACTTTGATAGGATAAATCTTTAAAGTCAACATCAATTCATTTAAGCTCATATAAAAACTTATCTAGTTCCATGTAGTTAAATAACTCCTTGTGAATATTATTTTGGATTTGGTTAGAAAAAGAATTTAAATTCAGTCTTCAAGAGAGAAGTGATTGATGTTCGTCTACTTACAAATAGAAATAAAAGGTACTTCAAGTGCTCTCATTTGATTTAACACTAAACTAATCCTCTTTCATTTGATTGAATATAGGATAGGTTATGTACTTCGTAAGTGTATTTCATACTCCCCATTCCGTTACTGATAAGTACAATCCAAAACAGTCCTTCCAGTTTTGAAATACTGTGTTGATTCTAAATAAAGATTGGTATAATGTTTAGTGTGTAGACCTGACAGTCTGTATAATTTCCGAAATAGTAAATCCAGAAAAGTTTGATACATTTTATGTGTGTATTCGTTTCACGAAATTCTGTAAAATCATACCATAGATTTTCCATAAAAGATATGTACTTTAAACATATTTAGGTAGTCGACTGTTTACTAAATCAATATTATTCAGCTCACAGAAATTATGGGTGAGCATCACTTTGGGGGGATATGACATTAAAACATGACTTATTAAGTCATGCCCTTGTACAGACGAGAGTGGGGAGGAGCCTCCCTCTTTCTCGAAATGTTCTAACATGAGCACGCGTATACAGCCATTGCCAGGGAAGTCGTACTCACTGCCTTCTCGTGATGGGCGTATTGTATGAAAAATTGAGAGGACGAAAATTAAATGCCCGGCACTTTAACCGGTTTGGTGGACACGGTGAGTCCACCTAGGGGAGTTGGAAAACCACCATTCCAAACCAATGATGCACATGGGCTCCAGTATCCTGAGGGAACAAATAGCGTATGAATCAGTCGTTTATCACCGGCTACCATGGGACTGCATCTCCTCACGATGCCTTACCGCCTTGTGGATCAGACTTTTAGGTCAAAGGCTCGGGGTGTGGCCCCTTAAGAAAATCACCTGCTTCGGTCTAGGCACCTCGCCAGTATCATAGCCCTTACACAATTAAAACGACATTACAATTTTTTTATGCCGCATATATATATTGTGACCCCTTGTATCAATATTTCTACGTTCAAAGAAATAAATAAATAATAAGTACTCCATAACATACAATAGCCCTATAGGCTATGTCAATCTAAGGGGAGAACTATACTCAAATTAAATTAATCTCCATAACCCTAACTACTAAAGCATACATTCATCATAAACTTACATATTCACCTAACATAATGATTACTACTAAAATCAATACAATTCATTACTAAACTAAGTGAAACTGACAAATTTAAACTTAGTTTCTAAGTAATCTGTGTAATAAAACAATTCAGAGTTGTTTTTTATTTATTTTAATAATAAAAAAGTTATCATCATGAAGTACCTATTTTAGAATAAAAAATTAAAACTTTTTTAATTCAGATTTATTTTTTTTTATTTCCTATTTATTAAACAATCAATAAAGCTTAAGTAAATTAATTATAGAAAAAAAAACAAAAAATTACGTAAAACTCAAAAAAAACATTTCACAATTTAAAAAAAACAAAAAACAACAACAAACAATTTATGAAAATTATTGAATGTCAAAAGTAGTTTTATTTTTTTTTATTTTTCATTTTTTTCATTTTTTTTCATTTTTTTTTTATTTTTTTGTTTTGTAAATAGATTTACTATATTCATTATTCAATATTATATAATATTTACCCTTTTTAAGAAAGAAGAATAAATAAACCATATGACATAAATCCTGTGGTGATTTTGACACAAATGTTTTGTTTCTGAAAAAAAAGAAAAGAAAAAAAATATATTCACGTGATTAAGCAATGAATATACATATTAAATTATTGTGACATATTCAACTGTTATATATAAATATCCGAAAGCTGGTTTATATAAGTTTTAAGTAATTAGAATGTTTTGTAAATGATTGAATGATTGATATAAGTTGTTTGAATTAGAATTTGTTAATCGTTACATTCATTACTTTTCAATAACTTAATTGGTTTAATAAGAACTTTCATTTAAATTTGAGTGAATAGTTTCATCAGTATTTGGGCGTCGAATTGATGTAAGACATTAAATAGGAAGATTATATTTGTAAAATCTTAGCGAATGAATTTGAAATAAATCCAATGTTCTGCCTGGAAATCTGGTCCAAACTTTTTCAAGGAACTATAATCTTTTGATTTTTGATTATATTTGAGTAAAAAAGCTTGGATCAAATTATTAGAAGGGGTTTTTGTGGAGATTTGGTATGTTTCATAGATGAAAGCATGAGTCAATTAAAGCTAGACCACCGAAGAAAACCTGGAAGCACTGGACGGCCGTTTCGTCCTATAATGGGACTCCTCAGCAGTGCGCATCCACGAACCCACTCTTGCGAGCGAGATTCGAACCCAGGACCTACCAGTCTCGAGCCGAAGCCCTTAACCGATAGAACACTGAGCTGGCATCCAACGGTGTTAATGTCTAACTTCAACTGATCCACGAAGTTGAGTAACCATTCACCAATTGTCATCAGTGAGTTCCTATCTCACGACAGACGTGGTTTGCACTCCACTGGTCACTGCTTCTCACTAGAGCTCCTGGATGTACTTCCCGAAGTCACTAGTGAGCATATGATTATATTAATTATTAGAAAGGGTTTTTGTTGAGATTTGGTATGTTTCATAGATGAAAGCATGAGTCAATTGAAGCTAGACGAAATGTTGGATTTACTTCAAATTCATTCATTGAGATTTTACAAATATATTATTCCTATTTAACTTAATTGGTTGTTTCTAAGATAAGTACTTATCTACATAAATATAGACACTTTATAGTAGATTGTTTCGTTTCAAGTTTCATTTTATATTTTAACAAGGAATTGTTTTGTTTAGTTCATATATAATAAGCAAGCTGATAGGATAGACTGAATTAGTGAAAATATGAAACTTTGGAAGTTATTCTCTGGCAAATCGGTATGATCATGTATTTTTAGTTCCTATTCATTATACATGAAGTTTATGATACTTTTATACTGTATTATTTATAAGTTTTTTACTGGACTCTAACTGTTAATAAATCTCTCACCATTTACAAGTTCTTGTAAATTTGTCACCACTTTGTTACTCAGCTTTGTAATATAGATGTCTAGTTTCAGTAAAGATTAGTGTGTATATTATTTATTGTGTATATGTTATAGTCTAGTACTTCTAGTTTAGAATCTTGTAGAACAATACGAGGTAATTGGCTAGTCTTTCAGGTGTTTTGATTACTGAATGATTGTGTGTGATAATGTTATGTATAGTTAGTGGCCCTATATCTGACTCCAGTTAGATCGGATAAATGGTCGTTACCTAATGATTGCTATCAAAGCATACATCCTGGCTATCCTCGTATATAATCGTCGATATAAATTGCGTTGGTCAATAATGGAATTAAATAAGTCAAATACGAAAATGGATTTTGAATACGTATATTTTGTACACTCACCGATCTGGACACACAATCAGAGAAACAAAGTGAAGGAAGCAAATAGAAGAGAATGAAGTGAAATGCCACACAGGGAAGAAGGTGTAAGAGCCAACTCGATTTAACCAAGCGTGAATCGATATTTATAGTCACACAAAAATAAGTCATAGATATGTGATATGTAAGATAGGAAATGCACACATACGCTTTCATAAGAACAGTCAAGGTTGATAAGCGAATAATTGACAAGGTTAAAATGTGACTCAAAAAGAATGAATAAATTGGTTTGTCCGGAGGCCAGAAAAAACTGTAAGAGCTTGACATAGCAACCGACACTACGTATGCATCAGTTCGTTACCGTATACAGTAATCGTGTTAATGAACAGAAGTCATAGAGTAATATAATAAATCACTGTATCAGTGAGTATTAAACAGTTACAATCCATAATATTAATTAGATTTACCTAATTCATTCGATTGTTCAAACAAAAGTGCGAAAGACCACTTAAGCAGGAAAAAAGACTCAATAAATTTTCATAATACCATAAACGTTTGCTCAGCCGCATCATTTACAGTTAGCTGACTTAGGAAGTTATAAAAATCAATGGCGATAATGTTCTCATAGAGTTTTACTTATAGATAATTAAATTAAATCTAGTCTTAAGTAATCTAGTCTTGTAGTAACCACCGAATCTGGGACGTAGGTACATCCAGCAGATGAGTCATAAATAAGACGACACACGCAATCTGAATTCCAGTGAAAACCACCACTCATTTCTGCTTATAGATTAGCTTATTAAATTATCAGGACAAATAAATGAAAATGGCTTATGAGCTTAGGCAGGAAGCATTACGTTCAGCTTCATTAATTGGCATTTTTATAATAATAAAATCATTTATTTTCTGACTAAAAAACACCTTAGTTGATATATGCTCGGTATTAGGCAGAAAAGAGACAGATTGTCATTTAAAAACCAAATTCAATCACAAAAGACTTCCGTTACACAGATTTTTAAAAAAATAAAAAGGTATGTTACAAAAGAGTGTTAGTGGATTCAATCCCTGAAAGGTTAGTAAATATTCATTTCTGGTACATTAAGCAGGTGTTTAATAACTTCTAGCTTTCACTGATTTCTTAGCTGGATTCAGTTCATAATGTATACTATCCTTGAAATGAAAAGTATTTTCACAAATTTAAACAGAATTTTCAGCACAAAATTTATTTCTGAATTAAGGAACTATTGACTATATATATATATATATATATATATATATATTTCTTTTTACATGAACTCTAATGTACTTTTCGACTGTACTGTCGGGGCTTAGAAACACTATATGAACATACTAACCACTCCAGTGGTTTTTCTTCAATCTAAAAGTATTTAACATGATAGCAAATTTTAATTAGATTATATCGCTAGGATAATTTGATTTATTTAATCTACTTTATTTCTTTAGATGATGAAATTAATCATACGAAACGTGATTCTAAACTATCCAATGGTCAAATTCATACTAACAATATAAACAAAAACATATCCAATCCTATATCTCGTTCAATGACAAAATTGAATTCTTTAACACCAGAGGATGCGATAAATAATGATAATTTTGAAAATCGTCCAAGTTCAGCTAAAGATTTAACTACTAGCGATGTACAGTCTAAATCAGTAAATGTTTCTAGTATGTCCATTTACAAAGGAAGTAATAGTTGCAATAGTAATAGTAAAACTAATAGAATTCAATCAACCACAGACTATTTAAACTCAGATAGTAATTCGGATAAATTAGGTTCAGTTAAGTATACACCAGCGGAATCTAATTCAGAAGTGATGCTTATGAATATAAGCAATTCATTAGGACAACCAATTTCAATAATAACTAATCCAATACAAATTGATACAATGCAAATGTCTAACGAAGATATTATGAATACTAGTCGAAGTGGAGCAGTCTCGTCAGCAGTAAAAATAGAAGCAGTGTCGACAGCAACAACGACAACAACAGCAGGACTAACAACTAACTACATTCCAAATCCAGACTCATATTTAACAGCTCCTACTACATTCTTTTATTTCTATAACAATGAGGGGCAGTTATTTGCACTTCCAAGTAATGCACTAATTTTTCCTACTACTGTTGGTCGCCTTGGTACAACAACTGTATCTAATGAGACAGCATATAGTAGTCCATCATCATTTATTACTCCACAAGTAAATGGGAATAGCGGCAGTACCAATTGTTGTAATAATTCTTCTACCATTCGTACTACAAGCGGTGTTTCTAATTATGAGGTTCCAGAGCAACTGTATTCAGGTTCAAATTATAGTACTATCCTTAAACATACTGATAATAATCAATGTCGTGATCTTATATCGGGTTATTCAGTGCCTATACAACCTTCATTTCTTAATGGATTTCATCAATGGGTACCTGGTCAAATTACACTAGATAATCAAACAGGAATTCAGCAACTTCAAAACTCTTCCACTAATTCTTTAATGATGCCATCAAATCAAGGTGTAATTTTACATCCATCATGTCCATTTCCTTTACCTTCAGTTGGATTAATTCAACCATTGATATCAAATATTTATTCTAATCAAAATTTCAATTCTACATCTTGTTCAGATGATAATACTAATCGTAATACTTCATCAAAGCAAAAGAATAACCAATCTAATATTTCTTCACTTATGAATCGTTCTACAGATCAATTTAAATTACGTCGTTTCACTAGTGATCTGCCAAGTTTACTAGGTAATGCTAAATCAACACGTTCAAGTATGAATTCTGGAAAATTAATTAATTCCAATAATAATCATTCAAAATATTCTGGAAAAGGTTTAATGTCCACATTTTTAGATGATTATAGCAATACATTGAATAATCAGACAGCTGGTAATCGTCAGAAAAAAGTAAGTTAATTTATTATACTTTACTTAGGTATCTATAATTTGACATCTATCATGTATTTGATAACGACTAGTACTATGATTCAGGACACACTTGGAAATTTAAAAAAAATCCGCTTTCAAGTACAAACGCCAATTGTAGTATGGATGAGTCCTAACAAACGGCTTCGTCTCAATGACTCCAATATCGACCACTAACGATTATTTTATGAACAAATAACAATATGGGTAACAATGTTAAAACATATGTTCATTATGTGACGATTATAAGAAAATTTCAACCGTTATCTTCCATTCAAATTCTTGTCTATTTTCTAAAAAGAATTTACTAATTTATGAATAAAACATCGAATTCTCTAAGTGAAAAATCTACCAGTTAATGTATCAGAATTCTGCATGTATTGATTATCATATCAGACAGATACAAACCTTAAGAGGACTATTGAGTGGATAGACGATAATGGTTAATCCATAGAAAGCTTATATAACTTTATTACAAGAGAAATAAGAAAACACAAATGCCTACAGATGTGTTAAATTCCAAAGTCATGTCTTTTGTAATGATTAGTAGTGAATGATATATTGGTTCCAACTGTTGTTTACAACTTAAACCGATGTTCAAGAATATATTTGTTTTATTATATTGTTTAAGTTAGTTATTTTATTTCCTATTTTACACTATATACAATGTTTATAGATATTCCAATAGAGATTTAAAGTTTAACACATTTGTATCATCTAAAAACCATTGTTTACTAAGTTAGTTTCAATCAAATCTCAATGGCGGCAGACATCAACGAGAAGAAAGGAGCTTTCAACCGTTCAAATGTAAAACAATTTCCTGATTAGACTAAACAATTTCAAGTAATTTGTTTTTTCTAAATCGAATTCTAAAATCCAGCATTTAAAGAAAATATTATTTGTATGTACATCATCAGATGCCCAGAGTTTCAAGTTACATTACTATGAATTATATATATATATATATATATATATATATATATACTTTACCAAATACATTCAACTGACATCATTGCTAAATTTTGTACACTACTATGCCTATTTGCCAAATTTTAATATTATAATTTAACATCCCGCGAGGCAAAATCGTGGATGCGCACCGCTGAGGTGTCCCACAATAGGACGGAACGGCCGTCCAGTGCTTCCAGGTTTTCCTTGATGGTCTAGCTTCAATTGACTCACGCTTTCAACTATGAAAATTTAATGCCTATTATTGTGATATTTTTAAAATATAAATAAATATTTTGGAATTTTTGTTTTCTTTTTATATATAGCATGCATCTAAAACAAATCTTTATATTCGTGGATTACCGACTACATTTACAGAAGAAGAATTACATACATTAGCACCAGATCGAAAATTGATACGATCAGTGAAATTGATTGCTGGAGCTGAAGGAGAAAGTAAGATAATATGAATATTGATTTTTTTCTAAGCTTTAAATAGTACTCGTTAGTTTCTACATGATTTGATTTTATTTTTTGTAAAATCATTCAGAATTTTAACACTAAAGGTATCAACTCTTCATATAAAATTAAACAAATAATTGATACGCCTCATTAACTAAGCTTAAAAAGTCCACGAAACTGATGATTTGAAAGATGTTATTTAGCCAAATCCAAATTGTCTAAGGACATTTTACTGTCGTACAGTATCGAAACATTTCAAATGAAAGGTCTTTTTTAAATAATAACAACGCTGCGAAGTTGACAAAATACGAAATCAGTTCGAATTATTTAAATAGATTTTGATGGTTGAACTTGGCTTGCCTCCAAGTATACCAACATTTTCAAATCCCAGTCTTTTGTGACTATTTTACGCCGGGAAATGTAATCCATACTTTTATATGCTTTTGTGGTTATGTGTTTTGCATTGAATGGAATACTCGTTGGATCTCGAATCACAACCTGGCGTGATTATCCAACTCTGAGAATTTCAATCCTAATGCAAACCAGTTATTTAGTGCCCCTTGGTATTTAGTGGTATACTTGACTGATAATTTGTGATAAAAATCACACAGAAACTCAACTTGTTTCTACACCCTAGCGATAGCAGACAACTAAAACTAAATTTGTCAATTTATTACATTTAAAAAATACCATATTGCCCTGAGGAGACAATGACAGTCAAGAAAGTGAACAGTCATTTATTCATACATTACTGTACAATTTTGAGATGAAACAATCATCTTCATAGTTAAATTATGACGACGTTAACATATTTAAAAGGTATTTCACCAAACCAAAATAAGCCAAAGTTTTCCTCCGCTATTCAAAGTATTTTTGTTTCCTCCTATTAAGTAATAAAAAGTGTAATTACTGCCACATGAATAACAGGAGCGTCAAAATGTTTTCCAGTGGCCTTCAAAAATTTGAGAGATAGAAACTTCTGTTACCCTTTATCTTTCCAAAGTCACCAGTGATATAAATATTATGAAGGAACTTCGAAAAGTTTCTGTCAGATACATTATATCAACAGAAACTTCGATGGATTTATAACCATGAATCTAGACTTAACAAAACCAGTGTTATTAGAATGCATATCTAAAAAAATTGGTTTTCCTTGTCATAATTTGTTACTTATGAAAATGACTTCAAAATGACTGACTAAATCTACGTTCATTTATCATTTACGAAAAACGTGAAATCCAGCTCATCCAGAACATTTCCCACCGTATATACTTAAAATAGATAACTTACTAATGGAATATATTAACAGTTTGTATTTTTAATTATATTGCTAATACAATGAAGATTTGTGCATAAGTTTTACGTGAGAGGATACCAAGATTATTCTAGTTGTTTTTTGTACACAGGTACAGAATACAGTGGGTTCAAATTCTCAAAAGTTTTATTAATCATTCTATTAATATCATCAGTTGATGAACCATAAAACATAAATAGTATGAACTTTCATCAGACATATTACAACGGTTCATAACGTATAGTATTATACGTTGTTCCGCTATTTACTCTAATACGATGATGACTACTTAGAGTTAATACTTTTTTTGTTTTCCTATGAAAAATGGCCTTCAGCTCTATACTTACTTACGCCTGTTACCCGTCATGGGCTATCCTTTCCAGTTCTTTCCAGTTACTAATCATCCTTTTGATGTATGTTTCCAATTCCCAGGGTAATATTTTCTCCTGTCTTTCTCTTTTCTTTTTCCTTTAGGGATTCCGAGTTAGTGCTTGCTCCATGATGTAGTTCAATGATTTCCTAAATGAATGTCTTATCCACTTCCAACGTCTTTTTCTAATTTTCTCAGCTGAAAGCTAGTTTGTCTTTTCTCACAGTAGTCTTTTGCTGATGGTATCCGGCCAACGGATATTGAATATCTTGCGTAAACAAAAATCTCACTAAAATAAAAATGCTACCCTCGACTTCATAGTGATTCTTTAAACATTTCATCTCAAAGGATATTGTCATGAAAATTTTACTTTTATCGTTGAAATCATGAGACAATTGAAGCTAGACCACCATGGAAAATTCGGCCATTTTGTTCCATTGTAGGACCCCTCAGCAGTGCGCATCCACGATCTCGCCTCGCGAGATTCGAACCCACTACCTATCAGTCTCACCTGGCGCGCGAACGCTTAACCTCTAGAACCACTGAACTGGCATCCAACAGTGTTAATATATAACTTCAACCAATCCACGAATTTGAACAACCGTCCACCATTGTCATCAGTGAGCTACTATCTCAAAAAAGACCTGGTTAAACTCCACAGATCAATGCTTCTCACTAGAACTCCAGAAAATATCTCTTTAAGCCAGTCACTAATTAGTATATTATCATTATCCGAAGGGGGTTTTGTGAAGTAATTATTAGTTTTATAGTTGAAATCATGAGTCAATTGAATTATTAAAATCTCAATAAAACCCCCTTCGGATCAAAATTTTAATCTTGTAAAAGAGTAAAACTATTCTTTTAGCTGTTATATATCATATTTACTAAAGGATCATATCATAAAATTTTAAGAATAACAGTAAAGATCATTGTAACAGCAATGAACTTAGTTTCATTAGTCAAGAAAAAAAACATAAATAGAAGCTTCATTTAAATTTTTTTTTCCTTAGTTGTAAATTTGAAAAAAAAATTTTTCTCGTAATTTTAGTGTATGGATTTATTGATTTTGTGAATAATGAAGCAGCTAAATCTGCCTTGTTACATATTAAATCAGGAAATCGTGAAATCTATGTAAATTTTGCATATGTAAGTTGATTTTTTTTTTGTATTTTTCCTTAGTTTATGTTTACTATAGAAATGAACTTTAAACTAATGAAATCAAAATATTTGTTTACAGGGGGGGGGTGTTAAACAAATTTTCCAAACAGTCAATAAGATTTTCCTATGATATTGAAATGATAAGTATGTATACATGAATGTTGAAATGTGGTGATTTTTAAGATTATAAGCATTTGAAAATACTTTTTTTTTTAACCGTACAAAATAGAAATAAACCTATGTTTAGGGAAGGGAATAACATTTGGTAATATAGTCCTTCATTATCAATCGTAGTTTTCAATGAATTCGATGTCTTTTTTTGGTTGAGATTATGAATCACTTGAAATTAGACTACCATGGAAAACCTAGAAGCTTTGGACGGGCGTTTCGTCCCATTGTGGGACTCCTCAGCATTGCACATCCACGACCTCACCTCGTAAGATTCAAACCCAGGACCTTTCAGTCTCACAGAAAAAAAAAGATGAAATTCATTGTTTTCTCATCTATTAAAATCAATGTAATATCCACAAAACCCCCTCAGATATCAAACAATATATGGTAACTAGTGACTGGCTTCAAGAGGTATTTCCTGGAGTTCTAGTGAGAAGCGGTGACCAGTGGAGTTCAACCAGTCTGTTGTGAGACAGGAACTCACTGAAGACAATGATACACGGTTGTTAAATTTCGTAGATCGATCGAAATTAGACATTAACACCGTTGGATGCCCGCTCAGTGATTCTAGATGTTAGGCGCTCGCGCGCAAGACCGACAGGTCCTGGGTTGGAATCTCGCGAGAGGGGATCGTGGATGAGCACTGCTGAGGAGTTCAATACAAGGACGAAACGGCCGTCCAGTGTTTTCAGGTTTCCCATAGTGTTCTAACTTCAAGTAATTCATGATTTCAACTACTAAAATTACTATAATATCCACAAATCTCCTTCTGCTAAGAATTCAATGTTATAAATCTTTTGCCTATTTTGATTTATGACAAATAATATCACATTTTACTTTCAGCCAAATTATTTTTATTAGATTTCTTGGACATCTTAGTACCTGAAATAGCATAAATTTTAACTCGTACAAGTTGGCTTATTATCAAAGTAGAATATCTTAATAGTCAAATTATGATTGCATATATGTATCAGAATTAAATAAAGTATGGTATTAAGGAACTATTATATTTTATAATCTAGTACAATCCCATAATAGCAATTAATATCAAACACCAGTGATCAGTATTAAAAATGACTTAAAAGAAGATTAGACTATAAACAGGTTCATTAATTTATAAAATAAATCATTTTATACATTTGATATATACATCTGAACTATTGATTCAATAATATCTTCATTGTCATTAAATTTAAAATAAACTGACAAAATAAAACTTGGTTCATTGAAATAATGATTTCATGTATTTAATAATCTGATTTTCAATTGTTCTCCAGATGTAACCAATTTAAGTGTTCAAAAAGATTTACCATTATGTAATTGTTTTCATGCTACATATTGAAATTAATAATGTTGAATACATTCAACAATTTCAAGATCTATATAGTCTTTAAAGCTCAAAATTAGTGAGTTAATTGTATAATAAAGATCTAAGATTAGAAAAGTTAATATGACCAAATTAATAGTCAATTGAAAAAAAAAAAAAAAAACCGAAGCATAATTTTCCAAAGTTAGTTCAACCATATGATATGATATGACTGAACTCTAGTTTGATCATTTTTAATTTGTAACTGGTTAGAATAAGTTACCAGTACAATAAACAATGAAAAAATCCAATAGAAACTCAATGACTCATAATATTACCAAAATGTAGGATATTCAAAACAATAGGGAACAGGATAACTGACAATTAGAACAATTGAACTTGTATGTTTACAAACAAAAGGTCAATTTTTTTTTGAGTGTGAGGATATATATTCAAACAGAATAAATTATATAAAATCTATATTCAGTTGATCTTATTTAAAGGAAACAACTTCAAACTATTTACTATTAAAAAAATTATTTAAGGATAAGAATAGAATAATTCATGTATACTCATGTATTTAACCATAGTATGGAATAATTCATTTAGTAGCTACTTTACTTCCTTGTCAACTTGTACATTTCATATAAGATTTTCCAAGATGAATTACAAGATGTATAACTATATATATATATATATATATATATATATATATATATATATATATATATATATATATATAACGGGAAAGGAAAGGAGGGGAAATGGATACATACACAAGAAAAAATTATTAACAATCTGATCAATTTTTCAGTCACATGTCTTCCTACCCATTTACATAATTTGATTTATTGCAATTAATCTAATGTTTTGTTGTTGTTGTTTTTTTATGTTTCTATTTTCCCTCTCTTCTTGTTGTTCTTGCACTCATTCATTTGTTTATTCATTCTAATCATTGTATTTGTTTGTTTATCTATGAAGAATATCTTATTTGTTTTTTTTCCCTTTGTTCATGATAATAAAACGGATACTATAATCTGTACATAATCATAATTGAAATCTTGATCTTAGTAAGATATTAATACTTCCCAAAGTTGTTTTTACTCATAATATTAAACGGTTGATCTTAACGTAAACTAAAGTTTTCAGTATTATTTTATTAACTGAATCAAGAGAAAATGATTATTAACAAGTAAAAAGTCATCTAGTTACTGTGAACATTGGTTCAAATAGAACAAACTCATCACACGTCTACGTTATGTATTGTTAAGCTATACAGAGATTTGACTAGATCACTTCTTATCATTTAAACTTGTGTTAATGATGTTGTATATTAGAAAGACATTCAAAATTCAACAATTAAAATGATTCAAGATGCATCAATCTGTCTACAAGTTTCAGCTTAAGAGAGAAGGAAAGATGCTAAAATTAATTCGAGGTTTTTATTTGAAATATTTAGTTTGCATTTGTTTATGTTTATACATTCAAATAGACCTAATGATAAATGGATTATATTCGAAAGATAGAAATAATAATAAAATCGAATCGTGACAATGTTTAGCACAAATGCTATTGTTTATTTTAGCTTAACCAATGGTATTTTTACACTTTATAATCCATGTTTCAGAATTTTCAAGGTAACCATACCTTTGAATATCATTCAAGGGATTGATCTTCTTAAAAAAGCGGAATTATGGATATTGTGAAATATAATGTCACTTTTTATCAGTTAACTTTCAATTTTTCAAAGTTGAAAGCATGAGTCAATTGAAGCTAGACCACCATGGAAAATCTGGAAGCACTGGACGGCCGTTTCGTCCTGTTATGGGACTCCTTAGCAGTGCGCATACACGATCCCGCACTCGCGAGATTCGAACCCAGGACTTAGCAGTCTCGAGCCAGAGCCAGATCCAGCTCAGTGGTCTATCGGTTAAGGGCTAAGCTGAAAATATTGAAATATCATAAAGATATCAGGGAGGACTACTATCAAATTCTCACTGGTTTTCAAAGGTTCACCAAAAAAATGTCAGTCTCTGACAAAATCTATAGACAAACCGGAATGATATTCGCCTAAGTAAAGCATTATATTACAATTTTATACAAATATATGCAGACACATAGATGACTAGTTAGAATCTAACAAAATGAGCTAACGATTTCAAGTTATCAAACGTAAAGTATGCTTGATCAATCATCTCTTGTTTAACATGATGAAAGTATTTCATTTAACAAGACAAACAGTAATCTGACAAAAATGTTGACAGGTCTGAAGTTAATATATCCCTTATATCTCTAGAGAATTCCATTCTGAAATAAGATAGACTGTGAAATCCATTTATGCAAAATATATTGTATAGGTATTAATATTATAAACCTCTCACTTAATCAACTGTTCTCCTGAGTTTTTCAACAAATTTTTCCAGTGTTTATATCCTTGTATTTTTATTTTCCGGAATAAACCATGTATTGATATAAGCTAAAAGACTGTTGAACACGGGGAAGACTTAATTAACTGCTTCGTTCGAATATGTGACTCCTTACAGTGCACATCCATGAACACATTGGAGATTGAATTCAGGACCTAGAGTTGTCTGATTAAGATCACTGTGTAACGTTATCTATAAAAATTCAACAGTATCCACATAGACTCGTGTTTTAAAATTTTTGCAACTGGGAAATTAAAAATCAAAGTCACAACTTGAAATATTAAAAAAATATTGGTTACAATTTATTCGTTTTTTAATATTTGTTCGAAGATCACATTCCCCTTCTGCTTTTTCCATTCATCTTAGGAATCTGAAAAGGATCCACAAAATGTTTATATTACCAATATTCCTGAATCGTGGACAGCATCTAATGTTGAAGATTTGAAACAGATCTTTCAACCTTATGGACCTATAGCAACTGCTATTGTAATGACAAAGAGATCGAACAATTTCTGTACAGGTACTAATGGGATTTTTCTCTCAGTATGATTCATATTTTGTGTGTAGTTAACACATCTCAAGATTCTTCAAATAAAGGACTTTTAAGCTGGAGGTACTTGCATTTCAGTCCTGATGTTCACACTGAGTTACAGGTATTCCAACTGTCAAATCTTCAAGAGATTATAATGTGAGACCTAAGCTACACTACTGATCAATATCCAAAATTTAATTTCAATCTTTATTTTAATGTCCCTTCAAAGGAGCTATATATAAACAAAGACTGTTCAAATTCAGTCCTGAGTATAAACTTGCCTGCATGGATACTATCATCAATTATTGCTAAAGTCCTCTCAGATTTGATTTAATCATAAAAGTATGAGACATCAGTTTTACAGGCAATTTCCATATTTTATCTTTATTGTGATGTACACTATTAACCTTAAAATATAGCTCAATTTTTTAACAAAATTTTCCATACAACTTAGTATTGTTTGTTTGAATCTTCCCATCGATTTGTTAGGACTGCAACTTGTCAGTCTGTTATTGATATATGTGCATACTGTGCGTATTGCCTTGATTCACAAGCATTATAATCAAAGATGGATAGTGGCTAGCAGTGGAATCCAGGACGAAACGAGCGTCCTGGATTCCACTGCTAGTCACTATCCATCTTTGCTAACAATACGTTACATTCTTTCTTTTATGAATACCACTTTTGTTTTACGACTAGGTTATGGATTAAGTCAATTTTACAGCTACTCTTTGGATAATCCATCCCACTGATGTAATTTAAACGATGGGAACCGGAATAGGAATTTACAACACCATAACCGGTTATGGCAACTTTATATCATCAAGTTTCACTTGGTATTATTTCTACTCATTTCTTTTAAAAATATATATTTACATATGACTTTATACTATAACACAATGGTTCTTAACTATCAATGAAACAATATTCACAATATTTGTATAATTATGATCGAATTGTTTTAATTTCACATAATTAGGTGCTGGATTTGTACGTTTTGTTCGATCTGAAGACGCTCAAAGAGCAATCGATGGAATTCGTAATGCACAAATCACATTAGAAAATGGTAAAGGACCATTAGAAGTTAAATTGGCTGATAGACAAAAACCATCAGATGATCAACCAAAGTAAGCAGTTATTTATAGAGAATTTAAAAATGACGTAAAACTTTAATTTTAAAACACATAAAGTTGATTATTCCCAAATTAATTCAAAAAACATATTATGGTTTTTTAAGTACAGAATTGGCTAGTATGTAGCCTGCAATTACTAAACCGCATTTCACAGATTTATATTGCGTGATTTGATAAAAAAGAAGCTTACGAATCTCATGTTTGAAATGGAATTTTTTTCAAAAAGTTCCATTTCCGGCACTATCTCTGATACTGCATAAGTTATCATTACTTTTGAAGTAAGTAATGATGGCTCTAACCAGAACAATAGTGAAAGACTTTCTATTAACCATTAATTCCAACAAACATAGCACTACCCAAAGTATTTACCTGAGGTAAAAAAAAAAATTCTTTCTCAACGTAAATCACAATTTCTGTAAATAATAAGTTGAATCGAATTCTACTAACAAATTACATTTCATATGAATCAATCGAAAATATACTTCATTTCATTCCCCTTTTTCGTTTATCAATGATATATCGATTTCGTACATTGAAAATAAGTGTTTATCATACACCTTAGATTTATCATATCATCATTCTATGCATTCATTTTTTAAAAATATAAAATGGGATACAATATCAAAAGCTAAATTAATATAAAAAATGGAACAAAGAAAACGAAATCATTTCAGATAATGATTAGAATCTTTGAATTATATTTCATACATCAACCATGACAACTTCACTTAAATGTGTTATATAACACACGCAAAACTACTGATGCGTTTTTGTCTAAGTAAGCGCGCTCGCACACACACACACAATATAATTGATAATGATAATCAAAATGTCATATTTATACATGGATCACTGAACATAGTTATATTAGAACGAATTTATCTTTTACAAAAAGATCAATGCTATAAAGACGATGTATTTTCCGAAGTTTTTTTTCATTCATAATAAAGTAAATCGAGTGGAAAAAGCCCCCCCCCCAAAAAAAAACAGTCGAGTGAAGTTTTAGATGGTAGATTTCTTAATGTTTATCTCCCACAGGTATTTCATAGTTGACTGTTCAATTTCATGTTCATTTAGCAAATATTTCTATACATAAGTAAAGTAGGTACAGATTAAATGAATCAAATATACGGATAATTAGAATGCTAATCAATTCTGAAAATGCATTCTATGATGAACTGATTAAGGTTAACTTTTGAACAGTTATATTCTGATTCAGTCGTCTGGAAAAGTATTAGGCTCTATGTGAATTATGAAATTAGCAGATTCATAAGTACTTCACTATGTTGTCTAGTAATAAATTTAAATAACTATCCAGTGTTCCCTACCATAATAGATTTTTAGGCTGATTTATAAGTATAACGTGAACAGACAGCATAAAACGCAGGAAATCGGTAAATAGTCTTCATACTACTTTGTTTTATTTTATTTCTCATGTCTTTGACTAGTGCTACAAAAGCAAGGTCATCAAAACGTAATAGTGAACCACCAGAATCATCGACATCAACGTCATTAATGAATGGAAATGAAGAAACTGTACGGCATTCACGTACAAGAAAACAATCTGACTGTTTATTACCTAATGATAATCAACTATCTAATCATAATGTCAATAACTCAAACCAATTACGATCAAATCCTGGTGTTTTGGGACCAGCTTCTGATCTAACCTCATGGGATGTAACAAATCGTTTGAATAATTCTGATTCATTAATGTTGGCATTACGTGCAGCTTGGGCATCGAATTCTTTACAGAATTCTAACTTTTTATTACGTAATTCTATTGGACAAAATAATTTAACATCAACTAATGAAAATAATCGAGGTTTATTACCAATTCCTAATCAAACTGTACACTTAACCAATTTTATGTCACAACAAAAAATACCTAATGGAATTTTACATAATCAAAATCCTGTTCAACATAATTTAGTAACTGGACCAACTGCTGTAGCTGCAGCCGCAGCACAAGCTGTTACTGCCTTATTGCCTTTCTCTAGACCAATTGATAACTATTCATTATCACAAGCCCTAATGCATACACCTGTTACACCTTCAATGATTGGTCCAAGTGAGTCATATTTCCTTTATTCAAATTGATATATTATTCAGATAATAATCATTGACGCTTATTTTTAATCTTAAATTTATAGTTGTTTGTTTGTTCCCTTTTTTTGTAAAAAGGTAAAATGTAAAGTTTCAGCATTTATACAATTTGATCCCTTTAATGTCATATACATAAATGTGGAGAATCGTAATAAACCATGTTATTTCTATTCAGAATGTATTTAGACAAAACAAAAATAGAAAGGTCGAAAATTATGGGGTATACATATATGCAAGTGTGTGTGTGTGTGTCCGTATATATATGTGGGTACCAATAATCGATCAGACATCAAATTTTTAACTGATAGACAAAATCTAATTATAGAAATAATGAATCAGCAAAAAAAAAGAAAGAAAAGAAAAAAAGAGATTCCATTGTATCTATGACCATTTCTAATGTCTAGGTTAAATCATAAAATAAAAGGAGAAAAATTTTACAATCATCTATCTGAGTCATTGAAAGAAATTATTTATTTATTTATTTAAATGCATGAATAATTTATAAGTACAATAAACTATAGAAAACATTTAACATTACATAGTTCAACTCATGAATCAATTGAAGTCAGACCACCATGGAAAATCTGGAAGTACTGGACGGCCGTTTCGTCCTATTGTGGGACTCCTAAGCAGTGTGCATCCACGATCCTGCCTCGCGAAATTCGAACCATCACCTATCAGTCTTGCGCGTGAGAACTTAATCGATAGACTACTGAGCCGGTTGGCATCCAATGGTGTTAATGTCTAACTTCAACCAATCCACGAAATTGAACAACCATTCACCAATGTCTTCAGTGAGTTGACATCTCACAACAGACCTGGTTGGACTCCAGTGAATACTGCTTCTCAGTGGTCTAGTGGTTAAGCACTCGTGCGTGAGACTGATAGGTGATGGGTTCGAATCTTGCGAGGCAGGATCGTAGATGCACACTGCTGAGGAGTCCCACAACGGCTGTCCAGTGCTTCCAGGTTTTCCATAGTGGTCTAGCTTCCATTGACTCATGATTTTAACTATATAAAAATTACTAAAATCTCCACAAAGCCCCATTTTCATTAAACATTACAGTTAAATTATTCTTCTAGATAGTTACCAAGACAGATAATCAATAAAATAGCCATATGAGTTCAACCAATATCATGATTACTGTATAATGTATTCAGTGGAATGTGTTCATATGATGTTTGTGATATTTTCTCAAACGAGTCTAATTATAAACAAGATTTCCGAATGTAATATCTGAATATAATATGAACCATAAATCAAACAGTTTGGTAAGAATTTATTAATTTCTACGAAATTTTGTTAATGGTTCGCAATCTTCGTCTTATCTACGAAGAGTTTTCGTCATGGATTGATATCAATTGAGTTATCATCGAAAAATATGAAGTAATAAAGAGGTGCTCGGTTACGTAATATAGTATAGACCATTTGACAGAAATGGAGCACAGGACTTTCAAGTTACGCCATAAATTAGTTATTTCAGATCCCTAAGATAAATCCAATGATTAACGCTTCTTTTAAATAATTCTAAATAATTCACATCATTGGTCGACAGTCGTTTAATTGAGACAATGGTATTTGTTGATAAACGGGTTTAAAAGTTAATATAATATTGCATAATACAATTGAGTAATGTGACTGCTACGAAAATTGTCGATCATTACATAACTCTGGAAGATGTAAAAATGTTTGGGGCAGAAACGATTTGAATACGACGGTTAGTAATTTATGCTACACAATGGTCATCACGAAAGTTAGATAAGTTTGAATATTTACAACTGATTGGTCATTGAGCAGTGACTAATATTATGAAGGTTAAGTCATTGTTAATGCCAGTCGAATCCTGCTGATCAAACTGCAATGTAGTTTGAAATAGGGTGCACTATGTCGTGATGTAAAATGGCAGTTTTAAGTAGTATGTGAGGAACTCTGGACATAGATTCCATGCTATTCTGGACTCATTGGCAAAGTGTACCCATAGTCTTGGGGAACCACCTTTCTGACGAGTCTCAGTTAGCACGAAACTTTAGTTCAAGGATTCCTGTCGACTACTTTTAACTACCACCTTGTATCGCAAGTTTGAATATATATATATAAAAGACATGTATAGAAAAAGCACGACTTATATCTACTATGAATATGTTCGATCTCCTGTATATTTTTGTATAATCCCTTATTATGATAACTCAGTCATACAAATACATTCAGATACTTGATTTATATTATGAAAGTTCTATATCTTATCTTTTATGGAAAATATAACACAGGTAATATAGTTCAAAGTTAACGTCTCAAGGTAAATAAACCTTTGAATAACAGCTTGTAACGTAATGAGTATGACCATTGGAAGTGTTTTATCATAGCTGTGTCTAGAATCAGTTAACTGTGTTCGAAAATGAATTCAAAGTGAGTTTTCTTGACTCTTTACCAATTGATATACCAGAACAATTTAATAGAATAAAGCGAATTCAAAGAAGAAAATTTCCTTTTCAATGAAATCATTTACTTAAGCTGTACACTTGTATTTATAGTTATACAGAAATTCTATGTCTATAGAAGGATAGAAATGATTGCATCATAAATTAGAGAGACTTCTATTGCCAGATGAGGTTACGCAATAATCAATGGATAAGGAAGGAATATGAGGCTGGAAATAATTTATGGGTCAGATAATTGTCCGATTGATAGATAAGAAGAAAAACGGCATATATACAGGTCATCATAATAATAACTGAATAATAATCAAGAAAACTTGTTTAAAGGTAATAATAATAATAACTGATTACAGTTAAAAATTACAAAACGCTAATTTTAAAAAATCAATAATAATCAAATAAAAATAATGAGAAAGGGAAAAACACCGAAACATATCAATAAAAGGAATTAGGACCAAGTAGTGATGAGAGGTTGGACGAATCGTTCTTGCACGCAAGGTTCGAGCTTGAGTTCGTGGATTGCCAATGCCTCAGTAGTGTATAAAATATTGATTCGAATCTTCTTCGATCCAATTCTTTTAACAGTGTGGATTACTATAAAACAAGACTCCTTTGGAGCGATGTGTCCACAGTTAATTAAATGCTCCTGTATAGAACTAGTAATTGTTTTACATTCTCCTTTTAAAAGCCATTCCGGATAGTGTTCTAAGATACGTTTGGAAAGTGGTCACTTTGAGCGAGCAATGTAACCTGCCCCACATGAGCAATCTAAGTGACTACCTGTTCTAAGATTTTCTAAGGAAGTAATGAATAGACATGATTTATTTCATAACAATGTTTGTTTGTTATTGAGGTTTCGTACTCAAGGCTTTTCTCGGGAAATATAAAACTGTCATTGTTATTCTCAACAAAATTATTACTTTACGTAGAACTGTTCACTTTTGAGAACATCGCACTCCTAACCATATTCATGTAAATTACTTACCTTTCCTGTCGTTTTAAAGTATCGTCTGTCAATCGACAAGAATAATTAAGGCTTAATAATCAATCAACAAACTCTGTAAAATAGATTATTTTATGCCTCAGGATAAAATTGTGTTAGTCAAAATATTATTAAAAGTGAAATTTAAGTTAATATTATGTGTGTAAACGATTGCATAGTTTTGTTTAACACTGCGTTTCACAAAACCTTTAATCATTGAATTGTAGTTTTTTAAAAGCAAATTAAAAACTAAGATGTATGGTCACTGATCTGAAGATCGATTTAGTCATTAGTTCTGTCAATTGTTAATTTATATTCCATCATGTTTATCTGTTAAATATTTTATCAACATTCTGCGATTACAGGATGCATTACCACAAAAGTGTCCTTGACCTTGTTTTAAAAAAATCTGTAAATTTTATTCCCATTTGATTACTTAAAAGAACAAAACTTTGAAGGAAAAATTATCTCATACATTTTTTTCAAAAATAAACTGATACTAATTTCCAAAATGGAATGATATTCATTGAAGAATCATTATGAGATGGTAAAAGATAGACAGCTTGGGTAGATGATTTTATTGAAGTTCTATAATGAAACTCCAACAAAATAGAATCATCTTAAGCAAGGTTGCAATACATAGTTTTATTATCGTACTTTCTAATTACCAATCATAACGACCCTATAGGGCAACAGATAATTTACAGAGTTCGAATCTGTGGATTAGTTAAATTTTGTTCAACTTCATTTAATCAAAAGTGACTGAGATTAGTGGTCACGTTTTCAATACACAGTTAGCATTCTATATCCTACATTTTTGCCCACTTATGTACTCACTCATTGAGTGCTGAATACTGAAGTTTAATTCATACTTAATATTTCATTTTAAGTATTTAGAGTTTTCCGAGTCTGTTACGGTTAACAATACTGTGTACTACAAAGTTAGATTATTTATTTAACAGTTAATTAATTAAAAGACTAATATTTGAACGAAGAATATTCTTTTCGATAAATTCCCTTCAGGTTCTACAATTATATATCCAAATTAATAATCCGAAAAAATGGCCAGGTTAAGGGAAAAGTACATCGTTTACAGTATGTAAACTTAGGATTGTTGAACAATATAGAATAAAATCCATTCAGTATTGTTTGTTTGAATCTTCCCATCGATTTGTTAGGACTGCAACTGGTCAGTCTCTAATTGGCATATGTGCATACTGTGCGTATTGCCTCAATATAGCCTTAATTCACAAGCATGGTTAGCAGAGATGGATAGTGGCTAGAATAGAATAAAATTGTTAATATTGATATCACTCATATAGAATGTTAACTTGAATCTGTATATATGTTAAATGAAAATTTAAGATCTGTGATCAGAATAAATATGGGTCAGATAGGGTGAGAGAGATATGATAGTACAATTACAATTCGATCAAATGTTTAATGGAAGACTAAATTGTGTGAAAAATTAGTAAGACCCAATAATGAGGGATCAATGCGAACTGAACGAAACATGTATAGGGGAGATTAATAATGATTTTTAACCAATAATAATAATACAAAGATTTGTGAATAAAGATAAGAGAGACAATTACATTTGACTAGGAAAGGTCGTAAGTACATTGTCTAAATAGGTCTTCCAATAGCTAAGATTGCTATTGATTAATTGGCCTTGTGGTTGGCATCCCTCTGAATTGTAGGCGCATGAACACGGACTTCTTGACCGTTTGAATTTCGCCTATTTTCACTTTCATGATCATATATTTAATTATAGACTTTCTAGGTTAACCGTTCTCCCTTAGAGCATTATGCTAGGTGTTTAACTTATCTTCAACTATATCTGCTGAACATAAAGTGCGTATTCGGTAGCTAAAGGTTTTGATCAGGTTTCGTTCGCACTGTAGAGGTACAAAGCTAAGGAAGTGCGTATACTGTCTAGTCCAAGCATTTTTTCTGTTTATGTTTCTTTTTAACGATCCATCTGCTCTATTAGTTAAGAGGACGTCCAAAAAAGTTATTCGGCCATCACTCTTTTCCTCCGATGTAAACAGAATGGCTGGATGCACTTCGTTAAACTACCTAAGCACGTCTTGCTGTGATATATTATCTTTACACAGGATGAATGTGTCATGCATATGTCAACAGTAAAATTTGAATTTTTGAATAATCTATTTTAGTGGACCGTTCCCTAGTTTGGCCAGAAATATACCATTAATTATTAAACAAAAAATGATTGAAAGTGTTGAAGATAACATAGTAGTTGAATATTGAAAGCCCGACCTATAGCTTCAATCACAAAAATTTGATTTTCAAATTTATCAACAGATTTTCTTTATCCGTTTCATTTCTTTCTCTCTCTCTCTCTCTCTATCAAATCAATCCAGTGATTCAACCGGCTTCCAACTGGACTGCAAGTCCATTAATACCAAATATTTACCAATCAATATAAATATTTGTGAAAATGTGTGTGAAACCATAGTGAAATTTAAAGAAGCTTGACAAGTTATCGTTGCTATTGTCGTTTTCAAGTGCAAAAAAAACTTTTTTTTTTTCTAACAGTTCACAGAGTTACAATAAACAAATATTTTTTCTTTCAGAAAAAAAATATAACCAAGTACAAAAAAAAATATTTCAACATATTGCATCATAGATACAATGAATATAATTTGATCAATTTGGTCAAAGAATAAATATGGTTGGTTGTGTATGTTTGTGTTTGTTCGTGTGTGATCTTGATTACCGTATGCTAGCATGTTTCATGGTATATATATATATATATATCATGCTTGAGATAGTTAACAGACTAAATAAATAATATAAAACTGATACATTTTACGACGAAATAATAATCTATTTGTTGATTGTTTTTTTTTGTGTTGATTTTATGAATATTTTTCGTCAGTGATATCTTTTCATTTTCTTACTAGTGTCCAGTTTATTTCCATACAAATATTTTCCATTAGCATTCAATATCTATTCATTAACCTTTGATATTTAATTGGGTGAGTTATTTTCCAATTCCTATCCTCCCCACCTTACATATAACTATAATCATTTTAACATGTTTTGCAGAAAACTTATTTTAGTAATGAATGAACTATTGTTGTGAAAAACTGTTGAAAAAAATTTTTTTTCTATTAGAAGACAGTATACATATACGTACATATGTAGTGATATATATATATATACATTTTACAATATGTAATTACTTGATAACATAGAAACAATCGATTTCTATCATTTTATTTCTTTTTAACATATTGTTTAGTTGACTTTCTTTTCAACCAATTTTCTTTTTTTTTTTTTTAAACTCGAAAGATATATTTTGAAAACAATCGGTTTTTCATGAATCGGAAGAAATGACAATGTTAACACTTTAACACTTTTTTTTTAAATGATTTTTTTCTGTGGTTTTGTTTGTTTGTTTCAAGATGTCAATCTTTGAATTTAAACTTTTATCCAATCAAAAAAAAAAAGAATGCACATTCTTAAATAGATGTAATGTATGTTTGAGTTTAAAATAAAAGTATGTACACATTCTTGTGTATGTATTTGTATGATTTAACTAACTTGTTTAATTAGATTGCTTGAAAATATAAGACAGTTGAACAAGGGGAGGAGTTTGTCATTTATCATTCAATATATTCAATATATTTGGATCGTTAAAATGAATTGAAAAAAAGAAAACAATTTAGGTACAAAGAAAAACCCCCCGATAAAATTTTTATTTTATGTTTCATTAATTTCATTTTGTTGTTATTTCCGTTAATTTTTTTTGTTTTCTCTCTCACTTTTCCTGTTTTAATTTTAATTTTTATTTCAATTGAAAAAAGTGTGTTTGTTTGGTTGAAAATTTTTTTTTTCTAGAACAATAAAAAGGTTTGTGCTTTCAAGCAACTGATTTCTCTTTTTTTTTTTTGGTTCCTATAATTCTGTGAAGTATCGTTTTCCGTAATAGATTTTGAATGACATATAATTTTTTCTCTTTGTTTAAACATCTATGATTACATAATAGTATTTTATAAGCAAGATTTGCAACAAAAAAAATTGTAATCAGTAGTAGTGTTATGTGAAATTATAATTAGTAGATATGGAAATTAATATCGATATTGTAACATCTTCCACTTATTTTTTGTTTTTGTTTTAAATGCAGAAAGATTGTAGCACACATTAGTTACAACGATAATTCATATTACTTTTTTTTCTCTTTCATATGTTGCTTAGATGTACTTTTCGAATATGGGTATGTGAGTGTGTGTGTGTGTTAGCTTATTAATATCATGTGCGTGTATGCATTTAAAGTATCAGTATACATATGCTTTTTACAGTGCATTGACTTTTGAACAATTCATATGAAATCTTAACTTTTTAAAATAATATGTTGTGTATGTGTGTGCAAATGAGTAACTTTGGTGACTAGAATAGTTGGTGACAAAACCAATCAGTAACCACTGAGACATATAAAAAAAAAGTAAACTGTGGAGACATTATTTGAGTATTATTATTATTTTCTCTCTTTCAAATAATAACTAAATTTTAATAAATATTCAAAAAATATATTTGTAATTTTGTGTGTTTTGTGAAAATATATGATTTTGAATGCCAAATCTATTTGATGTATAAATCAGTTTATGGGGAACATGGAAATGAACTTGTGTTTTCAGTATATTCAAAGAGTTTAATATAAATTTCGATGGAATAAAATATGTTTTAAGCTAATAATGTAAATGACCATCAAAATCAAATAGAATATCAGAAGGGATTTTGTGGAGATTTTAGTAATTTTATAAATTTGAGATCATGAGTCAATTGAGGTTAGACATTAACACCGTTGGATGCCGGCTCAGTGGTCTATCGGTTAAGGGCTTCGGCTCGAAACTGGTAGGTCCTGGGTTCGAATCTCGCGAGTATGGGATCGTGGATGTGCACTGCTAAGGAATCCCATAATAGGACGAAACGGCCGTCAAGCAGTGCTTCCAGGTTTTCGATAGTGGTCTAGCTTCAATTGACTCACGATCTCAACTCTATCAAATAGAATAGTTAAAATACTTTTTAGTAGAAACCCATAACATTTTGTAGTATTATTGAAAACACAGTATCCACTGAACAACCTTCTTAGGTAAGCGTATTTTTGAACACAGTGGACATCCAATCAGAGTTTTTTAAGTTTTCGCAAACAATACAAGTCTTCAGACCACTGGTTGATACATACTGTAACATCCTGGTAAAAGTGCCTATATTCTTGCATATAACGATTGATTATGTTATAAAGGAAATGTGAAAAACTTGATGACAATAAAATTTAAGAATAATTCAAATCGATGGCCACTTATATGCAACATTAATTTTTTAACATTTTGATGACATGAAAGTGACTGATTAGTTTTTTAAAACTGTTCATGTAGTAATGCATAAACGACCAGTATACACTTGTAATTCTATATGGATTTAAAGTACATATGTTGAACTGTGATTATGATGAATAAACAACTGTCTACATATTAATTCAATAACTCACTGCAGTATTTTAAACTGTAAGGACGATGGTGATTTATAGTTAGTTTTAATGAAATTTGGATATCATGGTGAGATTATGCTACTCCTTGAAAGTACTTGTGGACAATCTATTGCGCATATCGACATTGAAGTAGTGTTAATATCCACGAAAGACCTCGTTCTGGTAAACAAATTATATCACTGAGCCGACATTCAACGGTGTTAATGTCTGACATCAACTGATCCACGAGGTTGAGCAAACATCTTCCATTATGTGGGGTAGATACCTCTTTCTACCATGTGTTCACTAGTGACTAACTTCGTAATGGGATGCTGGGAGTTTTAGTGAGAAGCTGTGACCAGTGGAGTTCGATCTCTGTCAGGTGAAGACAGGTATCTGCCTCACATGATGGAAGTTGTTCACGCAATTTCATGGATTGGTTGAAGTTAGACATTAATGCTGTTAGATCCCGGGCCAGTGGTTTAGAGGTTGAGTATTAACGAGCAAGACCGAGAGTCCTGGATTCGAATTCCTCATGTGCGATCGTGGATGTTCACTTCTGAGGTGTCCCATACTAGGACGAAACGGTCGTCCAGTGTTTCTAGTTTTTCAATGGTGGTCTAACATTCGTCGATTCGTGATCTCAATCAAAAACTTAACAATCTTCACAACCGCATACCGATAACAGCTATATGTTTTGAAAATGAAAAAAAAACTTCGTTTTCTCTATCCGAAAAATAACAAATCACTTGAAGATTAATTGACAAAAAAGATGAATATTTTCATAACTTGTTCGTTCGAAGTTTGTTTCACACTGTTGATAAGCAAAAGAAATTTATTGAAGTGAAACAAGTAATCCTAACATGAAACTTGTCAAAAAAAATATTTCACATCAAGGTTTCCTAATAAATTCAAATCATTCAAATATTAATGTCACAATTCAATGAATAAATTTCATCTAATTCATCTAAAAAGTTGTTCGAATTTTGACCTTTTTTCAAAGAGTAGACAAAACAACGACAAACAGTTTGACTATTCAATGCATACATCCAAAATCTCACATTTTTTTTATAATTACAATTTAGAATCGAGTTGTATACGGAAATAGCAACAGTATAATAACAAACGAAAATTGATTAATTTCTATAAATTACAAACCATTTTAAAAATGTGAATAGTCTTTAAACTAGAACTCCAGGACATGTATCTTGAAGTCAGTCACTAGTGAGCAGATGATTATATTTAGAAGGGGATTTGTGGAGATTTCAGTATTTTTCAAAGTTGAAATCATGAGTCAATTGAAGCTGGACCACCATCGAAAACCTATTACTATTACTATTTTTGTATTCATTCATTATTAAATCTTTTTCAGTAAGTTATTAATGAACATTACTAACTAATGTATAGAATAATAATTTGCTAATCAATTAATTTTATAAAATTAATTGGATTCATATATGGAATTACAATACCCTCCTACAATACAATTATTGGAATAATAAGACATCGTCGACTATGACAATTGAGTTGGAGGGAATCAATAGCAATATAATCGATCCTTTTGATCGGTTTTTCACATGAAAATCTGATTACATATACATTATTATTACTGTTGAAAGTAACCCATAAATCTAGAAAGTACATGATTCCAAGTATAGTTTTTTTTAAGTTGTAAAGTACTATGCACTTAGATAATGACAAGAATAAATGTATATATATAGATATATATAATGAAGTCTAATCGTGTTTGAACTTCACACCAATGTAATTCGATTTTCCTCTATTTTTATAGACATAGTTATACATTGAATCTTATCTAATTTGATTGATTACAGCAAAATTATTTATCACAAATCACTATTGACTTCAATATACTAAACAATCAAAGGATTATTGTCAGAAGGGGTTTTGTGAAGATTTTAGTAATTTATAGAGTTGAGATCATGAGTAAATTGAAGTTAGACTACCATGGAAAACCTGGAAACACTGGACGGCCGTTTCGTCCTATCATGGGACTCCTCAGCAATGCGCATCCACGAACCCACTCTCGCGGGATTCGAACCCATGACCTACCAGTTTCGAACCGAAGCCCTTAACCGA